TCTATTCATTCTGTTCTAACACCTTTTTTCATAACTTCTCTAAGCGATGGTTCTCCCATGCCCTGTAATGTGCGACACGAATTCATCATTGGTTTTGCTAAAAAAAAAATGCCTGAAAAGGCTAGGATCGGCCAGAAGTTTTTGGCACTAAAAAACGGTGGTTTTTTTTCAGGGTATTTTCCCGCCTGGCCAGAGCGCTACAATTGGTGTTGATTTCATGATAAAAACAGTCAAAGTCAATGATGACAAAATAAAGGTAAGCTTTTTTTTTCTCGCAAATCAAACGGACGGTACAAATCTTTACGTATGTTAGGAGGCTACGATGTTAGCATGGCTTGTGAATTCCGTTGAATCATCAAAAATCTCTAACAAGTATTGATCTGCTTCACTGATTTTTGATTTTCTGTCAGATGTAGCTCATAACATGGTTCCCCAGTAACACAATTGGAACCTTACCGAATACTTTGGCTACTTCGCTTGGTGGTCACTCTGTTGGCAATCTTGAAGTTCGGCTTCGTGAAGGAATTATCAATTTTCACAGAAAGAAATGAAGTTTTTTTTGTGTCGTGTCTTTTCCAATGTCTTTTTTTTCTTGTAGTTACAAATCTGGGACACAGCTGGACAGGAGCGCTTCCGATCAATCACACAAAGCTATTATCGTTCAGCGCATGCAATAGTACTGGTTTATGATGTTGCATGTCAACCAAGTTTCGATTGCTTACCGGAATGGCTTGGCGAAATTGAACAGTACGCAAATCGACGAGTTTTGAAAATATTAGTGGGTTAGTTCTTTTCCTGGGACTTTGAATTTTTTTAGGTTTTTTTAAGTTTTTTAGATTTTTAAATTTTTCATCTTTTGAATTTTTTTTTAGGTTTTTTTCAGTAGGAATTTAGAAGTAAATTATGATTTAACGAATTCAGGGAGTGTTTTCAGGGAATAAAATTGATAAAGCGGATGAGCGTGAAATACCGGAACGTATTGGTAAAAATTTCGCAGATGCGAACGCTTTTGATTATTTCCTGGAAACATCAGCACTGGATGCAACAAATGTTGATACATTATTCCATGAAGTTGCCACACGACTTACAAATGATATGAAAAAAAGCGATGAAAGGTACTCGTTCTGACAATTTGAAAACCAAAAAATTTTCGTTACTGCGACCCTCTTCGCTCAGGGAAGAATTTTCTACTTTTTTCCCGCTCTCATTTCTACATATTCACTTGGTTTCGTACCACATGAACTGTCCTATAATCTTTTCCTTTATTTCAAAGCTTATTTAAAGTCAGTACCCCCTCCCCTCTCCCCGAGTAGGTGGTGGGGAGGGGTTTAAAATTTGTTGCCTGTGGCCGTTGCAAATTTTTGTTTGTTACCGGACCGTCCAATTCTGATGTTTGTTTTTTTTTTCAAAATTACGTTTCGGCCTTCCAACGACCAAAAATTACAATTTTTTAGATAAATGTTTAAGGAATCCCTCACCTCCTTTGCGCCGTTACCACTGTTAAAAGCAACTGGTTGTATTCTTGATACCAAATAGGTACCACTCAACCGTTTTTCCATCTTTCATCTCTGGCACTGTCACAAACATAGGTCACGTCTTTTTGGCATGAGGAATATTTTATAACATGATGAAAGATAAGTATTCGGAATCGGGCAATTTTAGAATTGTTCAATTTAAGATATGTTTAATAGCGGAAGCAAAAAAAAAATAAAGTTTAATATTGAGACTGAAATGCAAAAATTTTCTTGATTTTAATAGAATTTGCTACCTTTTTATATTCTAGTTTTTATCAGCCCACCTTTCAAATTGGACTATAAAAAGCTGATTTAAACTCTGCACATCTGCATTTTTCAAATTCGGAAGAAGCCATGGACAGGCTTTGTGTTTGCTGTTGGCATTTGCTACCATCTTGAGCTTTTTCATGAATGTCTTCGCCTCTCATAGAAAACAAACGCAGAAGGCATTCAGATTCCATACATCAGTAGTTGACCAGCGCATTGAATGCCGGTGCGAAGATGAGCTTTTTGCACGGTTTCCCGCAGGTTTTTGTCGTTTACCGCACCGCTTTTTCCGGCAGGTGCTTCTAGACAAATGGATTTAAACTGGCTGCCAGTGCTGTCAGGGAACACCCTCTTAAAATTTCAGCTTCCTGGCTTTATTGGTTCTCGAGTTTGCAACTTACCCACCAAAAACATTGAGGGCCCGTACGTGGGACCTACGTGGGTAGGCGGGTCCATTTTAGGGTGGGTTTGCTTGTAGATTAAGTTCCCAAAGTTTCAGCACAGTAGCCTTTGTCGGTCTCGAGATGAAAAATTGGTACAGACAAACACATAGACACAGACATACACACACAGATACACAGATACAGACAACCTCTCGACAATATACGTTTTTGCATTGCATAGATGCAAAAAATGCATAAAAATCACAACTGCATGCAGTCACATTTATATTTCCGAGTTTTCATATTATATTGTGCCTCTGATACAATTATTTTAAATATACATATATCTCCCTCGTACATTAATACTGCTTAATTTACCAAATGCTTATTCCATTCAGCTGTTTCAGGTATTCAAATTTCAAAACAGATAAAGGTTCAAGATCAGTAAGTCTACTGGAACGAGTTACGATGCAGGCCAGTTCATGCTGTTCGCGGAATTGAAAAAAAAATGCATTGCTTGGATTTACGATGTTACGGTGAGCAGCTAATGGGGGATATGGCTGTAAAAATGCTCAATCCGTAACTGCTTCATCTGTTGTTCAGTTTTTCTCTGCATCTTCTGTAAGGTTTCTGTTTCGGAAAAACTCAAATTTGTTAATTTAAATATTCATAAACTCAGTACAGTTACTGCAAAATGACAGTACTGATTTTACGACAGAAAAATGATAATGAAAGGGGGAAGAGCGGGTGGGAAGAGGAGGAGAGGGAAATTCCTATTTCTGGTTATAATTTTGTAAGAATATTAGAGAAAATAGCGATTGCCCTTGGGCTGCTTGTCCTATCCAAACATTTCTGTTAAACATTTCGCTTGAAATTCTCTGAAGGAATCGCTATGAAGTTTTTTTAGCTTAAAAATGATTTCCGCCGATACGAATCAAGATTTTGCTGTAATAAGAAAGGCTGAGAGGTAAATAACAGGGAAATTGTCCCCAGTTCTCTTATTCAAATTGTCTTTCAATTTTGAAAAATGAAACTGCAATAGCCACGTTTACTGTCTAAATTCACTTAATCAGATTGTAATTATTTATTCGTTTTTTGTATGCAAGTATTGCAAGCATTCTCAGTATGCTGCAGCTGCTTCTTTTTCATGTGATTTTGTCATCTGTGATCGATCGGTCTAGTCTTTTTCCAGGGCGCCTTGAAAAGTGTATAATTGTGTGGTATGGCAGGGGCTTATTGTTGAGTTTTGCTAAATTACTACTGATCATTTGTTTGTAAGTTTGACGATGGTTGAGTGAGAAATCTAGTGAAATTTGTGCAGTAGATCGAGGTCACAGGGAAGAGAGGAGGGGTCTTTTGCCCCCTCCAGCGGCACAAGCACTATTGCTATGGAAGTC